TTTGACATTCAGTCTGAAGTGAATTTTATCAAAAAAGAATCTACTTTCAGAGTATTGTTGAGATTACCTAGTCCAAATACTTCTTCGGAGATTACAAATGTATCATTTACAACTTTTTTGAAGAGTGTTAGTTCAATAATCAAAGGAATGAAGAAAATGTTTCCAAGACTCGCGAAGAAACAGTCAGATAACTGTGGAAAATACGAGAAGCTTACAGAAACACAACCTTTTTGTACACATCATCCTTCGTGGAATTTTAGTAAAATAACAAAAAGGATGCTTATCCCACAGATTCACTAAGTTAATAGCGTTGCTGGAATGAAAAAATTAATTTGGTGAAGGGTGAAGAAAGAACGTCTATGAAGGAATATTGTGTGTAACTTTGTGTAACCATGACATGGAAATTAGTGATCCAAGCTGGTGTGCAGCATTTTAACTTTGTACGTCGACTTCTCCCACGGCTTTGATGTTTACAAATGCTAAGTGTATTCATTTTTTATTTTTATTGACTTCCTTTTATAAGAGTCACTTTGTTTACCTCACAGTGAGCTAATTCACACGTTTTACCCTAAACATGATATTTTACTCCTTTAGAAAAAACATGAATACACCATGAAAACATCAAAACATGTTTAGTCAAAAGTAATTCTAGAGTGAAGCCATTTTGTTTACTGTCAAACTAGAAATGTACTAAAACAGATTGATAAACAATCGAAGTTGATTTGACACAAAGTCATACATAGTTTGAAAATTACTTATCAATCACAAATGGTATATTCCGGATGAAGATATTCTTGTCCAATACACTGATTTATCGTAAGTCTTTCATTTTTACTGAGAAGTATACATACAGTCATAATAATAGCACAAAGAGGAAGAAGAATACTTATAGAACCCGGAGATTAAAATAATAATTTTTTCAAAAATGGTTTGTCCCTCTGGATGGTGCGAGACATTTTCAACATCAAATTTCACACTACAGCTAAAATAAGATATGTCAAACCTTACCAGGTCACTTTACAGGGTATGAAGTGTTTATGTGAAGAAGTCAAAATAAAGAGTGAATAAACTCTTTCAGTGAGACATAAAATGGTTGCCTTTGATGAGCTTACCGCTTCAGCAATGTCCTCTGGGAGAGTCACCTGACATAGTAGTAATTTCCCATTTTCACGTAGATTTCGTTTGGTTGATTGGACTTGTGTTTCATAATAACGAGTTGTAGTATGAATAAATATTTTTATCATAGTAAGTTTACCCGATTCGGTATGTTCTTGTGTTGAGCGGAATATTTTTGACTCCTGCTTCTTCACCATCTTTTCCAAGACCCTCTTCTATTTTTTATTTATTTATTTTTGATTACAGCTTGATCCCACACTGTATTTTTGGTACAAGTAGAGATTTTTCAGCATGGATATCGGTAGCGCAAATTTTGCGTCGGCAGGGGATCAAACCTCGGACCATGTGCATGGTCGGCGAGAGTCCTAACCATTGTGCCACCGACGTCAGTGAATTTTATCTGAGGATATTGCATGTTGATTCATTTTTATCATTATATACTGTTCACCTTATGAAGCAGATGATTCGTTAATCTTCGATTACTTTGGTGAAGAAACTGTCCTTGTCTTTTAATTACATTTCAGTAGACTACTTTTGCTGGATACATACATTTTATGAGGGGCAAGTTTATGACACATTTTCACCTGTGGCAAGATTGAATACATATTTCATTTTCTTGAACCTTGCGACAAGGGCCTTAACAATTTTTGATTCGCCGTGGAATACCAGAAAAAATCGAACATTTCATTCTATGGATCATGGAATTCTACAAAGTATGAATGGGAGTATACGAAGAAGAACCTTGGAGTAGATTGTACTGCGACTTTAACTAAGTTTTCTGCTGAGCTTCTAGGAGGTCTAAACTAGACATTATTTAACATAAAACGAATTCGAAATTAGAAAATTAGTTTTCAGTCTACACTTTTAGAGGTGAAATTTTACCTCAGTTTCTACTGAAAACCGAAGTTGACAATGTGATCCGCTGTTTACATCACTTCATTCTGGTTATCAAGCATTGTTAGTTTATGTGAGTAGCATATGACTACTCACCTCAGTCAGTCATTAGTATATGAGTGTTTATGCATATTAGAATACTTCGTTCAAAATAGAAGCTTCATACGGAGCTCAAGATTCCTGAAACGTATCTCTAAGGTTTTCCAATTAATAAGAAGGAATATAGTTATACGTTCGGACAAAACCGGTAGAGGGTAATAACGATCATGGATTTATTTCAAATAACGCTTTTAAAACGATGTGGAATTCTCAGCGATTAATATCAAATCCTAGAATTAAACATGAGTGAATCTTTGGATGGATAAAGTGCTAAATGAATGCTGCGCTGAAGAGAATTCATCCCACTCTTATGTTAGTCACATTTCACACTTGATTATTGACACAATTTAATTCTGTTGGCTCCCTCACGTTTTCACCAGTTGTATTTACCGCCTAAAAACTGCGTGTTAAAGCACATTTATCTAAATATCAAGAAGGATTTGTGACTCCATGTTTCAGCGTATTCGTTGAAACAATGCGATTGCTCATTATCATGAAGATATTGACCGTGAAATTCAAAATCATTTAAGTCGATCAATGAAAACTTTATTTTCATTTTACTATGTATCTCTGAAGCTTTAGCCTGAAAATCTGTCCCGAAGAAAGTGTACATTTAGAAAGAAACTCGACCATACATGGGGAATAACATGTCATTTTAATTAGTTATATTTCACATATTGTTACATTAGTTATGTTTAACTCGATCAAAATAATTTCTTGCCCATTAACTTTCCACTTCATCAAAATATCCGGACTTCATATTAGGTGAATTATTTAACGTTTACGTAAAGTTTGTCGTCATTGTCACACTTCTAATTAATTTCTAACTTCTATTCTCATCCGTTGTCTATTCCCGTCAAATTTTTTGCATACCAAGAAGCTTACTAACAGCATTTGTCTTTTATTTTCCGCCACTCAGTTATTTAATATTCACGGCTTGCATCTTGTCAACTGTATAGATACATGCCTGTATACCTACTAAGAACTGGTTTAGGGTTAACTACAGTGGAAATAAACTGAAATGAATTGGTAATATTATAGTATACTAATGCATTTACTATCTTTATTTATTCCACTTCACCGAGAAAAGTACCATACAAAATTTATAATAAACACAACTCGCATGAAATCCCACTCTCAAACAATGCTAAGCGCATTAAAACTTAGTGAATGCTCTTTGAGCTCAGAAAGAATTCCAAATTTTTTATCCTATCTCAAATAGAATAAGAACATACGGAACGAGCATAAACATCGATTATTTGCTTCCGCAAAAATTGTTAATTCTTCCTTCCTTATTGTCCGAATGGAAATTATACATGAATTGAAAAGTTTTCTTTTCTAACAAAACCATATTCCTATAAATGCAGTTACTCATAATTGACCCTTTTCAGTCCCAAAGTGAATCACAAGTTCATGCTACCGTTCGGTGTATTCTGTTTTTTCAGTAATGTAACAAAGAGTGCAATGGTGGATTTTATATGTGCTTATTTTATCAAACAAAACGGTGACATTGGCATTTCTGAATCCTCTGTGAAGAAACCTATTTCAAGGTTTACAATGAATTTTCATTTCTTGCTTATTAAGGAGTTCTGTTCATAGATCAACACTGTGGTGATAAGTACACCGTTAAGACCAATACTAGCTGATTTTTCCTGCCGAAGTTTGACAATCGATTGCCGAAAGCATTTATCGATGGTAAGAACACCTTTTTTGAGTATAGTACGAATTCATTTTACTTCATCGGATTTCCATTAGTTGCGTACAACCTGGATAATAAGCTGTATCAGCGAAAATTTCAAGGAATTCAAAGATACCTTAACCAAATAGCCATGTCTTTTTGTAAGAGTAAAAAAACATGCTGACAACAAAGACGAGGTGCAAGATTTACGAGAAGTTGGAATAATGAATTATAACAAACACAGAAACATCATATACTGTACACACAAGAATGTATATATGTTGTAGACAACTGATGAAAATCCGGTGAAATGAAATGTATTCACATTGTCCTGGAAACTCTAATAGTTTACTGACTCATCGCCAATTTCTTCCTCAAACGTTTACTCTGTATTTGCGAACCAAAAATTCAAAATTTCTGTGCCACTTGGCCGGATGAGATTCGCAAGAGCTTTCATGAAAACGCAACAGACTATGAGGCGTGAGAACTGATAGTTAATATTGTCCCAAACCGGAATATCTAAGAAAAGGTTTAAAATCCCATTGTGATCTCTTCATTACTGCTTATTTAAAAGTTCATCACTTATCAAACCTGCCTACGTAAGTTTATGAATGTAAGGTGTTTTCCAACCAGACACTAATTTGCAATTGTCGATTTCAGAGTAAATCTACTTCTATTCAAATTTCCCTTGCAACATACATTTTTACTGTGATAAATGAAGCTAGACCTTTGTAAACTCTAAACTCTACCATATTATACTAACATGTTTGTACTTTGAAGAAACTATGATGTGCTAAAAATTTGCAAAGAGATTTGAATCCACTACTAAAAACTGAAATTTTCGCACATTGCAAATAGGTTGAAGGTTACTACTGTATTCTCTATTTTAAGTTTTGGTTACCATAGAACAAATTGGATTTCCAAAGGTTGAAATTTTCTTGTTTATACGAAGTAGGGACTTTGGCTAAATCCAAAAAAGAGAGCATGGTAACTTATATAAATTAAACTAGTGAGTAACCTGGAGGCTTCCCATGCAAATTGCTTATTTTAACCCATTGTCTCTAACCCGTAAATCTTACGGCTATTCATTCGATGGCCTCAACTGCATTTTACTATAAAACAATGTTACAATAGTTAAACAATTATTTATTTGTTTAAATGAAGCATATATAAAAATGAAGTTAGTGGTGTTAGAACATCAGTTATCTCCTGAGCAGCAGATTCACTGGTTAAATCTAAAAATGAAAAAAAGCAGAGTAAGTTCTACTGAAATGAACAATAGTAGAATCATAGTAAGAAAATTACGGAAGCTGCTTAATGTGATCTGAGCACTAAAACTTCATTGGGTTATTTCATCTCTGACCTTGACGACATTTTCAGCACTCAATTATCGAACAAATATTTTTGTATGTGTGGTTGTTTAAACGCACCGAAAAACCAGTGTTTTAGTTTTTCTAATGAAAGTAAAAGACTTAATAAAGTATATGTACAAGCCTTAGAGAAGCCTGTTATTACAGTTACTAATTTCTCTCTTATTTTAGCGCTGAATTATCGGCACATCACATAGGCAAATACCAACCCACTAACTAGGTTCACAATCTTACCGGAATTCAGGACACATAGAAATGTTTGTTTCATCTATGTTTATGTTTATTTACCTGATGTCAGTATTTAAACGGACTGTGAACCTTAAATTAAAACAAAATATATTAATGGATGTTATAAATCTTTCAAATGGAATATTGAGTGCAGTTAAAGTAAAATCTTAGTCGTATACAATTATTGTGGAAATTAAAATGACTTTCATTTAAAGCAATAACCACTAAAAATCACTCATAGATGGAAGCAAATTGACGTCTCATTCAACCGTAACAACATCTTGGAATTTAATACTAGCCACCATCAATGAAAAATAATAAACTCTTATCTTCCTGTGAAAGTTGTCATTATTACGCTATAGATGTGAAATGATGTCATGATATTTCATAAGATTTGCTTTATTTCCAAACATAATGGGGAAAAATGTAGATTTATTAAAAGTAGATATCACCAATAAATATCTCAAAAATGTAGTTTGGCATAGTTCGTTGTTCATAAGCATCAAATGTTTTTGGTATGTTATAAGCACACTTGAACTAGATGAGAGAAAATGTCAACTAAAATAACGAGATTATGTTAGTTGAGACAATGTCAGAACAAGTGGTCATTGACAATTCATAATACTGATAATCACTGAGATTGATATCTTGAAAAATATAATTTTGAGAAGCTGCTTTCAGTGAGTGTTTCACTAGCCAAATTTCAAAACAAATTTTAGTTTCTAAACAGCTGTGTGTTAAGTACCATGATGAGAGATTTCAATGGCGCTTTTGAAGTAGGTTCATCAAATTAGAAAGTGCAGATTTCAATCTTTTTGATACAGAGAGCAAAATAAATACAAGTCTAGACTATCGCGACTGAACAGAGTATCTCTTCTCGGAAAAAGGCTAAGTGAATGACCTGAACATATCTTTGGCAGGCAGAAGAAAAGTTTACCGTCCAAATCGGTAGTGTATTTGTTTAAATTGGTGATACTTTGAAAACTGAATATGAAACGCACCTCAGAAAAATGACAAGTCTCATTTTTTTCTTTCTTCACATTAGAAGTGGAACATAGGGCCTAAAGCGTTAAATAGCAGTTTTATCACTTTAACAGAGTGGAACTCACTAACCCCACTACCAGCTTTCTCTCTTCTGGACCTGCTGGCTAGACAAAGTTCAGTAGTACATCAGTAGAGAATGGAACCTGTATCTATCGGACTGCTGGCCAACATCTTATGACTGAAATACTGCTGCAAGAAATTCCAGTATGGCAAGATAACTTGTTTCGACGAACCACAAAATAATCACACATGAAAGGAATTAACTGAATTAAAAATAACTTACCTGATTTCGCCAAAGTTTCTAGAGTTGTGAGTAACATGGACGTCATTTATCTCATAGACTGTGAAAAAAGCCGTTTTCAAAATATTCCCATGGTAAAATTTAGAACTACCCATTCAAACGAACAATAATGTTTTCAATTAGATTAGAGTTAATCCTAATGAGATCTAATTGAAAACAATATCGTTCGCTTAGATATGCTGTTTTATAAAACATTTTGTAGCAAAATATAACTTTTATTTCGAGATTTCTGAATTGTACAAAGAGATTTCACCTACGCCATCTGTACACAGCTGAAGCATTAGCTATGATAGAGAAGATTTGTAGCTCAGGTGGATGATTTTAATGTGGTTGTGTTCTCTGAGCCGGATGGTTAATTTGCGAAACTTTTATGATTACTAAACTCTTGGAGAAATCTAAAAGTTCACTTCAAATTGAAGCATGCGCTTAATATGTCGCCTAGTAAGGCGATGAAAGCTTCGCAAATTAACCATCCAGCTCAGAGAACACAACCACATTAAAAAGAAGCATTAGCTGTTCAAGATCTGAAGCCGGACCGCCGCATTCAAAAGCGTTACATACATTCTCTCGCCCTACCATGGCCACAGTAAAGTTTTTACTATAATTTTGCTTCTTTCTTTTTATTACGTAAGTTGGCTATTATTTTATTATCATTATTATTCCCATCATCCGTATTTTCTTACCACTCCACTACTGCTTATTAGTAACATCGCTTTCGCATACAGATTTAAACAAAAACACTGTATTGCCTTACCACTAGTTCCTATCCATTCTACACGAGGTTATTGATTAGTCATTATCTCACACTTTTTACGTCATACCAACTTCTGCCTCTTTCTTAACTTTCAATTAGTCATCCCTTCTTACACCTTACATTATGTAATGCACTTTTCGAGGACAAAGTTTACCAGCATCTGATTGGTCTACAGATGTATTTGTTTAATATAGTTACAATTGTACAGCTCATGAAAATGAATCGTTGAAAAGAAAATTTTCTTCGCTGTTTGCTCTTTTTTCTTATGACTCATTATGGTTATATTTCGTTCATTTCTGAATAAAAATGATCATGAACGTTCATTCGTTCAGTTATGAATAAAATAGTGAGAAGATTGGCATTTCATGTATGATTACATTTAGCTTTCGGAGAAATCTATAGTCTTACGCGCTACAAAACAGTTAGGTAATCTTTCAGCCATGATAAACGACACAGATTCGCTCATTATTTAATTCTTTACTGAATGTTTGATGATAAGCACAACTTAACTTGCCATCCGATCAAACATTGGGATTAGTTTCAAATACTTCAAGGTTGGTATCAGTAATACTTATTTATTAAAATGTCAAATATTTGATGAGGTATTTTGTGGAATAATAACTCAAGTTAATGAATAATTAATAAAATTGCATCCGTATCCTAGTCTTGTGTTTTAATGTAACATAATCACTTTAGTTATTTTTCTATGTGATACAGAGGAATATTAGCTAAATACAATCTTCCTATAAATCATAAGGAAGGGGATATTCCAGATGATCGAGGCCATAAACAAAATTCTTCGCATGATTTCGGTATTCTTCATACATTCTTATTCTATGAAATCGATAAAAGCTTCCGAAAAAAACACTGTATGCTGAATTATCTTAATAAAATTGTTTCCGATTTAATCAGTAGATTGCAACCGATAAAAGCAAACTCTACTCAGCTGGAAGATGTATGAGAATGTACGACTCCATGATTGACTATACACCTTCCTCCTCTTCAGACGGAACAGCAGCTTTTCAATAATATGGCATCTTTTCTGTGAGATACGGACAAGAGACATTGGTAATGCAAATAGTTTTCCGCAAGAAAAATTATAATTGAATACGAGTTTAAATTCATCGACTTGACCACACACTGAAGTAAGTAGGAGTTTTTATAGGAGTTTTCATTTGACTAAGAATTATCTCAAGGGAACGAATATGGGCTTAAGAAATAACCAAACCGCATATATGTGAAGCACAGATGCTTTCGTCTTGCCAGTAACAAGACAGATTAGGAGCTTTTTGGTGTATGCAAATAGCTTTTCTTGATAATTCTTTCTCATTTAATAGTGTTTAGTTTTTGATTCAAAAATGATTCTCAAGAAAATTCGACAAGAATTTCGGCTGATTTCAAACCATAATTTCCATTTCATCATAATGTTTGACTGCTGAAAATACTCAACTTTAACGATTTTGTATACACATTATTCCCGTGATAATTCGATTCCATTTGTAAAGCATTATTCTGTTGATTGACACCATTTATTCCCGAGTGAACGTATGAATCGTTCCGTTAAATTTATCTCCCAAAAAATGATTGAGCATAGTCCTCGATCAACTGTAATACAATAAGGGTAGCCACATTTTGGAACATTTCTTTTAACAGTTCTGCATTTATGTAAGTGTTCTGTACATGACTGATTTCAGTCATACCCATAAAGATTTCACGAAAGAGGAAAAATTCAGAAAAAATGAAGTACCATATTTCGAAGAAATACTAAATATGCACTAAATATTCAACAGTGTAGGTGTGGCATTAGTTAGCAATATGTACTCACCAATATATTCCGCATATTTTTCTATAATATTCAATAAAAATTATATAAAAATATTGCGGTATTTTCAATTAATGTTTAGTTCCACAGGGAGCTCCCACGATATGACAAATAATTTTTGAGTTTGAGGATTATTATCACAATTTATTTATGCGTATGTGACGACGGGACAAATGACACTACATTTTCCTTCAGCATCAGTATCTTGACTATTCATCGTTTAAGCAGTGGTTATTTTTGCACCATAATGTCAAAATTTCAGTTATTCACTAGTTTAATTAAATGGAGTGTTTGGCCCATATAGTTTAGTGGTGAAATATGAATATTTGTGCTTTGATGTTTTAGGAAGAGAATAGTTTGATTGGACACTAGTAACTAGTGTGATATGTCTAGTCATTTCATCGCTGCAGACTGAATTCTGTTAGTCAAGTTTTGCAATGTGGCCACCATTCTGGGTAGCTCGCACATTGATTTGATGATAATAGATAATTGGAGGCAATCGGCAAGAATCATTGGACCTAGGTTTTGTGATACTTGGAACTCGTCAGCAAGGCGTATCTGCAACCTTGAAGGAACTCATTTGCCTTCTGAGATTCGAACTGCGTCACCCAATGCCGCCTGCAATCAGAGACGTTACTACTGAGCTATTTAGACTCACGATTGACCTCCTGTATTTTTTTTTATTACAGCTTGATTCCACGCTGTATTTTTGGTACAAGTATGGAATTTTCAGCATGGATATCGGTAGCCCGAATTTCGCAGGCCGACTGTAGTGGGTAGTTTGATCGGTAGTAGTAAGAGAATGCTAACCATGAAGTCAGAGTGTCGTTTTCGTGCTGAAACACTTCCAAGTCTCGCCTAGCCAGTAGTAATATTAAAACGTGTGAGGGACTGGTGTGAGGCTAATAAACCTCACTATGTGGAAACGACATCAACGCAAATTAACGACGAAGCGATATATGCCACTCCTAAAACAGGTCTAGAGGTGTTTTCATTTTGCTGGCAAATACGGGTGCAGTATCAGTATGATTTTCCTGACTAAACAACAAGAAAGCGGCCAATTCTGTCTAGCAACCTCAAAGTGGGAATGAAAGAAAGCAGGCTCTAAAGTCCACATAACCAATTTGTCTTATGATATTTCATAGACTGTGTTAAAGTTTGTACAGTTAAAAGTATTCAAAAACACTAGAGCCTTCTGTTCAAGACTCACCATCATTTGGCTGTCACCTTACGAATACTCTGACAGAGACAGAATCTTCAGATGCTCTTAATTATGTGAACCATGCAAATGACTAGAATGACAGAAATATAATCTCAATTCTCATCCTGTGATATCCAAGGAAACATTATCTTGACGAAATTGTTGTATCGAACTAGAAGTTAGGAATTTAAATGAGGAAAGAATGCAGTTTTTAGGTGCGGACAAGTCTATATTGACTGTACCTACAAGCTAATATGCTTCAGACATGATAGTGAGCCAATAAAGTGATTTTCTGAGAAAGTACTTTTAGAGAAAATCACAATTTACACAGAATTTATGTGGAGATACACGGAAATATTCGTGAAATAAAAATTAAAGACTCACCTATAAGCCCATCTTATATTTAAGAGGATAAAGAATGATTAATTAAAATTATAGTTATTTCATTATTAATTTAAATCCAGAAACGTTTATTCAATTATACTCATTACGTTTTATTTGGTTATTTTATCTCTTGTGTATTGCCATCAACCGTAGTTAGTTCAAATTCACTACTTACACTTCTATGTAGACTTCTTAAAGTGTGTGAACTCGACCTATGCATCACTATGCAAAGTTCTACTTTTGTAGATCAGTTGGTTGTATATGATTTCAGTCGATACTATTTCCTTTACGCAGTGTTTGTTTTAAATATACCAGAAGTTACCATTGAACAGTGATTCGTCACCGTAAACAGTTTAAAAGTTGCATAAAATTCATTAAGCAATACGCAGTTGTTTTAATGAAGATCACCGATATCATAGTTATTGCATTTACCCATTGCGTGAATAATATGTATTACATTTATCAGGATTTCACCAATCATGATTATTCATTAGGCGTACTGGCCGAATAAGCTGTAGCCCAAGTGAAAACTGTATTGCACGAATGCATTTGTTAACTGATACTGTACAAAGAATAAAATAATATCCATCATTAGATTACTTTATATAGGAAAGTTGTATTTGTTAAATGCTTTTGAACGCATTTTTAGAAGCTATAAGCAAAGCAACCACAGTATTTTTAGCCGGAATACTTATAACCATCTAGTAATAGGAATAAAATAACTTACTTAAATCTTTCAGTTGCCCTTCTACAAATACAAATACATTGGACAACAGTTTTTGAAACTACTTATCTGCAGTTATTTTTTTGCAATATTCATTATTAGTACATTATCACTAGTGGTTAAATATGCGATTATCACATTGTCTTACATTTTGTAAATGCAGACAAAATCAATATACTATTAACACATAGTCTGCCTTAGAGTAGACGAATGACATCTCTTAGCCATAGCTGAAGCTACAAGAAGCAATAGTAAGAAACATAACTTTTGTAATTATCAAGGTCTTTAGGAATGTATTCAGTTTACATTTCTTTTTCTTGCTATGACGTTCATACTCTGTTCACCTAGCTTACTACATATCAACACCATCATTTCCGCTTCTCATCTTTTAGATGTACACTATGCTTATCCTGTCTTCATTATTTGATTGCAGTGAACATGAAGACAACATCAAACCATTATATTTGTTACATGTCATCCCTCAAACTTACATTTACATTTCTCATACATCACTGAATATAACTCCCATACCCAAATTCACGTTTTTGTTGATTATAAATGCATAAGCTGATCATTTAATCACATTTTACCTTGTGTTCCTAATGAGTGTGTATACTTTCTGTGTTTGAATAACAATCAAAACCAACACACTGTTATTCCATCCTGTATTTGCACTCTTATACATTTTCTGATTTAATTGTGATTCTCATTCACTGGCTGTTGTATTCTTAAATTCATGGTTCTGTAACTGTACAGCCCGAAGAAAAAGCTACTGAGAACAACTGTTTGCCAAATTATTCTTGTTTCGAACGGACAAATCTCCATTCATGTTTCATAATATTTCGAAAAGCATCGATCACTTTCAGATTACATCGGAAATAACCTTGTGAAATTATAGTTATTTTTGAATGCCATCTTATGAGGTTTTCATTTTGATGAAGTTTTACCATAACTATTAATTATTCTGCATTAGTGAGTAAGAATCTGGTCGATTGTGATGTTTCATGATTTGCTTCACATGCGACAAAAGTAGAATCTTGAGAACGCCTTTGTAAAAATCTGCATAAGTTAGACAAGATTTTCACTGGTGGAATCGCAAGATCCTGCAGGACTGGTTTACACGGATACCTATTTTAATTATTGAGGATGAAATGGTTGAATATTTTGATTACTGAGGATTACTAAGTAGTCGCACAAGATCTAGTGGACTGGAAGCTGACAAAATCTCATCATGGATGAATAGGCTGCTTTGAGTTTTACCAAACTAATTCTATTTTACCTCCAGTGGGATATCTGTCTGTCCATCAATGTGTGCGTGCAGTCTACTACTAGGAGATATGGTTACTGCCAAAGGGGCACAGAAAAATACTAGTGGTATTCGATTATGGGTACTTCTTTTCAGTCTTTTGCTTCAGTTGAAGCAACATGATAAGCAGTAAAGAGATTAGGTTTCAAGTGTTACCTAAGGTATGAGCATCAGCCGTTGGGTTGTGCGTAAACTAACTAGATGGAGTTTTGTGCAAAGTTTTGATTTTTAAGGGAGTTACGTGTTTGTGAATTCATTCAACCCTTTTTTTGTTGAAAGAAAGAACGAAAAGAAATATTCTCTCTATCAGTGTTATTACTGTCGTCACTTTTCACCACTGGGTCAGTAATATACAACGTACATCAAATCACCACCAATGGTTAGGCATATTGACTGAGAAAATGTATAGTGAGATACAGATCATGTAAGATTGTTTTAACTCATATATGCGTTAACAGAAAATTCCCGAGTTTTCTTGAGAGTGAGATGTAGAAATACACAAACTAGGTGAGGTGTCGAGAATAACAGAAATGAATATTGCGTTAATGTATAACTTCTTTATAAATTTCATAGATGTAAAGAAAGTGACTCACGTAAATAAACGCCTTCATTTTATAAAATATAAAACTATTAAACTAAAATATCTCTAGCTTTGAATGCTGTAGTGAAGTTATCTTTAATATTTACAAAAACCGCTGACATGAAAAGATGGCATAGGACTTATATTAGAATGAAAATCAACTTACCGAGTTCCGCAAATGCATCAGCTAAACAAATACAAATGAACCAATTTCATATCAACAATAAATTTATAAGAAATGTGAATGGACGTGAATCATTTAACAGTCACACTTCACCTCAATCATCAAAGGTTAGACATCAGGATGACAATATTTTATAAACCTTGGTATTAGGAATGAGTTAAACACTTTTTCTACCTGAAACCACATTTATCTGGTGCTAAATTTGAAACAGCGTAACTATAATTTCTTTTCTTAAATATTTCCGTGACGTTAAGTAGTCAAACCCGTTCTATTCACTAAAGTGAAGGTTCTTCAAACATGCATTTCTTAAAAACAGAACACCTGGGCAAATTTTCGTTAATTCTTTAATAAATCTTAGCATTTTTAAGCAAACAAATATAATCTGACTGAAATCTGGGGGATTAGTTCCTTCAGTAGTTCTGGATTGAGTTATTACAAGGTGGATTTAGTCTAGAAAACATGATGTATTTAGGCAGTTCATATCTAACATTTCGATCGCGAATCTACCTGTAAATTCAGTTTCATGATAATAATAGATTAAACAGTAAGGAGGATAACAGTTGAGACTAAGGTTGGTAGTACGATGAGATAAAAATCACCATCATGACAATAAACTAGTTATGTACACAGACACGAACGGTTGTCGCTCCAGTATATTCTACTATGCACCTTTGTCGGTTTTAGTATAATCCTGAAAGCTAACGGTATGTTGGTCTTACGATTCATGGCAATAATTAGTTTGCCGTATGTGTATTCAGGCACTTTTAGGTTAGTGTGCAACGTGTAATACAATGCAATCACTTGTAGAGAAAATTTCGGCGATGCTGTATGTCTGTATTTAAGAATGGCAGATTCTTGTCACCGTCTTACTATCATCCTACATAGTTCGCCTTCAGAGGGATATTTGATATAGATATCTTTTTTAGCCGTGGATTAAACTGAAGGCTTTGAACGTAGCTACTCTCGATGCTCCGTAAAACTCTTCAAGGGATATATACAATTTCGATGGTGTATCAATCAGTTAACACGCTCCTTAGGAGCTTGGTATACTGGCCATACTCCACTTCTGCCTTTGTAGTGTATCACTAAACACCTACTTCCCATAATTTTGTAGAGGTGAAAAAGATCCTCTTATAACTATATTCTGAAACGTCTTTTCGATTCTGGAACTAAGCGCCCTCGCAAACCAGCTCAGAATCAGAGAATGCACAAACCCAGCGTAATCTCACGTATTTTTCTTTTAGCATTTTGAGTATTTCAAGTGTTGGTTTTCTAGAAGTTTTGTTTCATTGGATGGAAGATTTCATCATTATCTAGTGGGCAGCCGTGATCAGTGGGGAACAGCAGGTTTAAGATGAGGCAGTAACCCATCGAAGAAGACTGAATCGGGTTCCAGTGGCTCAGTGGTCTACCAGCTCGCCAGCCTTGTAATCAGAAGGTCCTGGGTTCAAATCCAGGCGGCTGCGTGCTGATGAAGGGCATCGAACTAGGACGAAACAGCTGTACAGTACTCCCGGGTTTTCCAGTGGTTCTGTAACTGATGGCAGCTCATGATGAAATCCTCCATCCAATATTGATTATTACCTAAAATTCAAAACTCTAGTGGAACATATTTGAAAACATTCTATTTGTTGGTACGACAATAAATTATGTGTATGTATATAAGGCTTTTGCTGTAAATATCTATTACTAAAACCTCATAAAAATATCGTTGTTATCACCTCCAAGTTACTTGGGAAAAATACACCGCCATTAAAGAACAAATACAACCTTCATATTAGAATGAAGACTGGCTTACCTAATTGATCGATATCTGATCCTAGAAGTGTAGCAGCAAATAAAAAATATATCAACGCTGAGTTTGCAACAGATGTAAGTGACAACTGCAGTCATCATAAAAAACTAAATTAAAAATATGAATTTTGTTTACTTTCTCAGTTAAAGGAAAAAGAAACTGTTATCTTGAGACTAGTTTTGTTTAACGCTAAATTTAAAACAACGCTACTATATCATTTTGTACTGTAACAGAAACGTAGGTAATCAAACTGCTAACATTCATGGGGCTTGGAATTCATAAAACGAGTATTTATATAAGAAAGTACCACATATCATGATTTGATAATGAAATCTCGAAAAGTTCTCTTTTTTATAAATTTAGATACAGCAACTATTTCCCATTATACTTCTTTTGAATAAGTTCATTTTCAATATTGTTACTGTGCTTTGAAGTATCTGCAGTGATCCGGTTGATTTTTCCGGATACGAGAGTCAGCCCCAAAACCTCTTTTCTGAGCCTTAGGCCGACGGATTAACTGATGAACTGGTAAATTCTGCAAATAGGTAGACTAAGAGGACTTAAAGAATAGAGTAAATAGAAATGTGCTATCGAAGCCCTATACTGCAATCAAAACCAAAAGGAATCATAGTTATTATTATGAATAAGCATTCTGCAAAAAATAATGAAATATTGGGAATGATTTGTAGGTAACTTGAGTGCTTTTCACTGCCCGAATTTTGTTTTCTGTGATGCGTGTATACTGAAAGCCATAAAACTTCTATTATCAGCGAATGGATCAAATATTTGTCTATTGCATCACATTACAGACGTTCTACTTTGAAATATACGATATACTGGTTATCCCTGTTGCTTGTTTTCTTTCTTATAATAATGTGAAAAGTAGTACTCACTTTTACAGTCAATACAGAGAAATACGCAAGCTTGTAAAATGACAAGTATGTAGAGTATATGCATAGTGGTGTAAACCGTGACGGGCCTGAGCATTCACGATCTGAATTTATATTTTTTTCATGCACCTATGGAATGATGTCTGAAGACACGTGATTCTATTGACATGTTGTTGTTGTTTTTGAACATTTCTAAGTTTGCATCTTGACGTGAAATAACAAATAAACATCACACTATCATCTACATAATAAAGTTGTGCATGCATGCGGACATTAAGACTTAAAGTTAAATTTTAGATCTTTTTATTTTTTTTAACTCTACTGTGGGTAGTGGACATGCTTTGAGACTTTCATGAAGCGTTTTATGTTTTTTTCAAGGAATACAATTTTGGTTTAAGGGTAAACGTGTGAGTTGCCTCACGGCAGTGTAAACATCAAAGACAGAGAGCAGATAAACTCACAACTATGTGACACGATAGTAGGTCGTTGATCACTGAAAAAAAGGAAAGTCGTACTTGCTGGTGCTTCACAGATGTTCTTCTTGAATCTATCACCAGGTTTAGTTTCTATTCCAGCCATACCTTCCATCAAATAAATCTATATTAAAGAATTCATAGTTGTAGTAAAATAAATCTGGAAGGAGATTATTTCTTCTCTGAATTCAATGTTTCCAATTTTTCAATAAGAACTTGAAGTGAAATTCACATGGATAATATGGAATTCATCCATGTTCATTGTCTACGTGAGGTGCCCCAATATTCATCTAGTACAAGGATAATCTGTTCCAAAATTAAAGAGGATTAAGTACCAGTTTGTTCTATCTCTTTCAGTTTCACTTAAAATGAAGGTGATTTCAGGAGTAGGTTTATAGAGATTTGATTAGTTTTAAGGTTGATCACGGATTCGTGTTAGTTAGAGAACCACTGGAAGCCAGTTTGAAATAGGTAGCAGTTTCATCCCAGTGATATGTGCTCACAGAGGTTCGAATTTAGGGCCTTCTGGTTACCAACCAAGCTCACTGACCATTCAGGCAATAGGATCAGACTTAATGGCTCATGAATTTTAACTTGTGATTTTGGTTTACATTAAACGATATGAAATCGAATGTTCAAATATAAATAGTATCCTGTTGCTGATGCACCTAGCAGCGATTCATCCTTATTAATATCATCAAATATCTCTTTATAGAAAGCGTACACAGATGTCTACAATAGCTGGCGCGAAGCATCGTATTTCCTCATCATTTCATTTATAAGGACTAACAGTACATTTTTCATTATGTGTCAAATGAAGAGTATTCTTTTCCGTTTTATGTGAAAAGGTTTTCATTCAAAGTTGAAATTTAGGTAATATAAACTTAATAACACAGTAATAATACCCTTGTTCTAAATAATAATAATTCCATAGAAATGGAATTTTCAGCGTTTTTGTATATACTGCAACAAGTTAGCTAATTTTATGAATTTATAAATACAAAAATGGAAAAAAAAATAGTAAAGCCACAAGGACTAAATGTTCGCGGAACAAAATGAACTACAAATAATACGTGTATTATTAACCTTTGTTAATAGTGTGCGATTCAGCTACTGATTTAAAAGTTTATAAGTTGTTTTCTGACGTTTGTCTATTCACACAAAACGCGTCCTACATGTGGTGTGGTGGAATTTTTATATTTTTTCCATACGAGCATAAATACCTACCAAATTTCTTCTGATTTTACCCGAAGATACAGAAGGAGAAAGCTGCGAAGTGAGAGGATGTTCGGTATGAGACAAGATAACTTTAGCCAACTGTTTGCAAGAATTACAGTATCTGATAGCAACAATGTCAGTTATTTGAGCCAAAGACACACCACACCTATAGCCTTCAATGTTCTACGTAATATGACATAGTCGTTTTTGAGAAGTCCAGGAACGAATAAGGGCAAACAGTCAAGAAGAATGGACAGAATACATGAATAGATAGATTGTGGAAGAATAGATTGATATTCAAGTGTTGGTTTGTAGGATTTGATTGATTTCAGGATTTCGAGCTGACATTAGTTAGAGAACCATGGAAAACCTGGGAGTACTGGACAGCTGTTTCGTCCTAGTTTGGGACTCTTCAGCAGTACGCACCCACCGGGATCGAACCCAGGACCTTCCGGTTACAAGGCGAGCTCGTATACCATTAAGCCATGGGACCCGATCCAATGGTCTTGAATTCAGTTAGAATTCAAGGACCATTGGATCGGGTCCAGTGGCTTATGGTATACGAGCTCGCCTTGTAACCGGAAGGTCCTGGGTTATGTCAGCTCATGATGAAATCCAGAATAGATTGAGTTATTCTAGAAATTCTCAACTTCTTTATGTATTAAATTAACCAAATATTTTTTTCTGAATTCGACGATATATGAGAAGGTATTTGAAGAGAAACGGATGCCCAGAAAGCAGATATTTGACTCCTTATCATAGGGCTACGAGTAATATAAACATCTTAGGATTGAATCAGTTCATGCGAGTCTAGTTCACGTCTGAAACTAAATTCAACAATATGACATTTGAATAAATTCAGTTTAATACCATTTAGGTGAAACCACTTCTTAACTTCAGATAAAAATCTATTCATATAGAAAAACAATCCAATTCAGAAACGACTGAGACATAAATTGCTAGACCATCTGGATATTTAGTGAAATCAGCCTTAGAGGAATACAGAGTGTCATGCAAAAAGAGAAAAAAAGAAATGGAGGGGGTACAGATCCTTCGGGCACACCAGTTTCCGTTAGCGACGAAGTGGAGTACTTTCCATTCAGATTGGTCGGTTGTTTTCTACCCGAAAATATGTAGACAGCCGCCTTGTGATCCAGGACCATGTGTTTGCTGAAGTCAGCTTGCCTAGTAAAAATGACTTAGAAATATAGTCAAAAGCAGCACTTAAGTCCAAAATAGAGGTTCTAATAAACTAAACTCCTTTATTTAGACTCGAAACAATATTGCCGTAGAGTACAACGGAAGCATCTAATGTGCTGCTACTGGGTTTGTAAGCGAACTGCTTTGGATCATTAAAAGATTTCACAGAAGGTTTAGGAACATGCAAGAGACGTTTTTCCATAGTTTTAAAAATGGGAACGTGATGGAGATCGGCCTAAACTGTAGATCTGTTTCAGAAAATGACTCTAGTAAATGCACCAAATTTATTTCCTTCCAGACAACAGGTACTGTATCCCTATGAAATGATGCAATAAAGGTTTGTTTAAGAGGATGACAAGAAATCCCAGCACACACCTGAATCAAAATGTTTGGTGCACCAAAGGGACTTAGGCTATTTAATGGATTTAATCATTTGAGAGATGAGAATACTATGCCATTATGGGTAAAATTTGTTTTGATGAAGTCTCACAGTACTATACAGTGATATTTACTGATGACTTTTCGAGAACAATGTATTGCTCGTAATCACAACCATATGACTGCATATATAAATAGGAATAAATCCTTTTCATTAAAACCAGGGATATGATCATTTGCGTCACTAGTTACATCAGGTCCAGTCATATTAGATTGTTGCATTATGGAAGGTCTATTTAAGGCATTTACATTTTTATTTTTGATTACAGCTTGATTACACACTGTATTTTTGGTACAAGTATGGAATTTTCAGCATGGATATCGGTAGCCCAAATTGTACAGGCCGACCATAGATATCAGGTGTGAGTCGGCGTGGGCTCGAACCCCGGACCATGTGCATGGTCGGCGAGAATCCTAACCACTTTGCCACCGACGTATATCAGCATAATCATAGACTGAAATTTATTCCCGTCCCTAATTTGATTAAAATTTTTCCAGATGTTGGAAGCATTCTGATATGATAAGAATTTTTCATAATATATCCCATTTAGACTTTGTATTTCAGACTTAATCAGAGGATTTACTGCTAGAACGCCTGCATTATCATATGATTTATAAAAATCCTCTTTTTCTCTCCTAAGCACTTCTAAGTTGTGGAGAATACTGTTATGTGAATAGGACTGTTCTTGGACTTCCTTCATCAGGAGAATAAGGCCTTTCTGTATAACTTACCGTTCACTTTCAGTAAAACACGAATACTGTAGTGGTTAGAATTCAGCAAAAGAGCTCTCCTTTGCGCCTAGTATATGTCATGATCTTTTATGAAAACTAAGTCTATGGTTTTGTCCAGACGAGTATCGAATTTGGTCAGGCTATCATGACCAAGTGATGTAAGAAAGCTGTGATCGCACGAATTAAAGTCCACACAAATTATTGACGAGGAGTGTACAAAAATAGGTTGTAATTATTTGATTTCATAAAATGAGGTAATAATAATTTTATCTGTTTAGATCACCTGTCAAGTTCTCACTAAATCCTTTTGGAGCTCTCACCTCAGTATTTTCTTATTTGCTTGCTACCATAAGTGCCTTTGAAAAAGCAATTATAGCAAGTGAAGGCTTGAGAAGGAGACCTATCCACCTTCGACTTAACTCATGGACAGTTTGTGTCGTAGAATGGAATCAATCCAGAAAGGGGGAAATGTCGTTTCCGCTACACCAATGGTTTCTCTCTCTCTTGGTTCTTACTGACCCTCCTTGCCCTCTGTATGCAAGACAGATAAAGGCCTACTTCCTTTGAGACCTACAAATTTAAATTCTAACGTTCTTTTTTCTGTGTTTCACGTAAAAATTTTTAGCAGGTATGGATTCTCAGAATAATATTTATTAATATTCACAAGCTCTGCAACAAATTTGTTCCCTAAACATGGCACTCCTTGTCTACTAAGCGTTATTCTGAACAGACTTTGCTTTGAGAGAACTCAATAAACATTCTCATAAGTGCGACTTTGAGTTTCTATGAAAACCATTAACCTGACGATATGAAGTGCCCCAAAATTTGTCAACTTCATTCAACGGCTATACGACACTGCTGCATGTCAAGTGATCCGTAACGTAAAACTCAGCGAGGTGCTCGAAGTGAAAACAGGAACAAGACAAGGTCGCCCATTATCACAAATGGTATTCATAATTGTGGTGGACTAGATTGTGCATCAGACCGTGGCAACTGAAAATACAGG